TACTATAGCCTTACCATCGTGAAATTTCTAAAAATATTCTGTAAATGCCCTCATTTGATGAGAAACATGCAGGAAAAGATACCATTTAGAAAAATATTTTTACAAAAACTTTCATCAAAATGTGTAAGTTTTTGAACAAAAATGACATAAAGTATTCATATTTTGACAAATTGTTTTTGAATACATTTCTAAAAAGTGTATCATTTTTATGGTTAAGGTTGAACTTCCAAAAAAAAGCATATTTCTGAATTTGAGTGTGTGTGTGTGTAACATTTGATTCAGAGACTCAGTTAATTATTAGCCAATCAAATCTTTTTGAAATGTAGCCGTTGATTTGAAGCTCTGAAGCGCTGCAAAAACCACGTTTGCTCCGCCCACTACAGTGCAAAGTGGAAGCTAACTGTTAGCATCGGGACAAGCTCCTCTGGTTACATTACTGTGATGCTGTACGTGTGTGTGTGTCTTCACACACACACACACAGTGTCAGCAGATATTATGAGTGTGTCACTGCTGCGTTAGTGCTGCCTCCAGTGTGTGTGCGTGTCCAGCCATTCATTTAGTCGTATGACGTACGACTGTTGTGGTGGTCGTCCTCACTGACAGGCGGACATCAATTCTCTCTCCCTGGACCAGGAAGTCGTCTGACAACACAAATAAAAACAGTCGTTCATTAAAGTGTAAAAAATTGGAGGAGGATTTATGTTTGTGTCGTGAGTCAACACTGCTGTTGGACACACACACACACACACACACACACACTCTGCTCTTCTTCTTCTGTTTTGTCTCTGTTGGTGATATTTTTTGCTAACGTTTAACATCTAGCATTTTATTTAAATCATTAAAAAAATGTTTTTTTTTTCTTTTAATTATTCTGGAGTTGCTGGTTCACTGCTGCTTCCTGTGGTGACTTTGTGCCATTGGCGTAAATCTGTTAATTGCTTTTCAAACAATACAAAAAAAAAAAAGTACTCCCGTAGATGAGTACTGCGAATACTGGAGGTATTAAAGTGAGGGTTTGTTTTTTAACATCTGAAGGTCAGAGGTCAGACTGACCCCTGGAGGAGTAAAAGACTAATGTCAGTGTCTGGTGGTCAGGGTTAGCCCTGAGGAGTAAAAATATATATTTGTACATATATATTTATATATATTTGTGTGTATATATTATATATATTTATATATATATATTTGTGTATATATAATATATATATTTGTATATACTGTATATATATATAGTTGTACATATATATTATATATATATATATTTGTGTACATATATATTTATGTATATATTTCTACCTGTTTCTCTGCAGATTTGTACGAGTTCAGAGTCCCAGAGTCCATAGAGCTGGGCTCCACGGTGGGAGTGATTCGAGCCGTGGACGGAGACATCGGGGAGAACGCAGCGATGGACTATAGGATCATCTGGAGCGACGGACCCGGAATGTTCGATGTAACTAGCAACAAGAGCACACAAGAGGGCGTCCTTGTGCTGAAAAAGGTAGGAAAGACTTCTTTAGTTCCAATCCCTTTTGGTTCCTTATAGGCTTGTTGCGAGAATAGCAGCTAACGTTAAACACAAAGTTAACACAGAGTAGCTTAGTGGGAAGTTAGCTCAAAATGGTAGAAGTAACTAAATGTTAGCCAAAGACCAAATGTACGACCAGAATTAGCAAAAACTGCTTTTTTTTTTACAAAAAAAGAGAAACAAGAATTCAATTATTTAAAACAGAAGGAAATAGAAATGTGTAGAAAAAAAAAGCTACAATTTGGTAAAAAAAAGAGGGGAGAGCAGAGGATACTGATGCTGCTGCTGTTACTGATGCTGCTGCTGTTACTGCTGCTGTTCCTGCTGCTGCTGTTACTGCTGCTGTTCCTGCTGCTGCTGTTACTGCTGCTGTTCCTGCTGCTGTTACTGCTGCTGTTCCTGCTGCTGCTGTTACTGCTGCTGCTGCTGCTACTGCTGCTGCTGCTGCTGCCGCCTTCTCTGATGGATTAAACACAAAGTGGCAGTCACTCCCACTCACCCGTCAGCTCCCCCCCCCCGTGCGGCCCGCCTGCAGCCCTCCATCGATCTCCCTCCATCACGCCGTCATTAGCTCACAGATGACATAATTGCCTTTTGTAGCTTCTGCTGTGGTGCGGGCGGAGGTGATGGAGACACGGGATGTTTGGAGCGGACAGTGACACAAATATGAAGCCCAATAAATTAGACAAAGCTGTCAGATGACAGCGCCTCCCGCAGGACATTCTCTGTTTCAACAAAGGGGATTTTTAGCTTCTGTTAGTCATGTTGGATGTGACATCATCAACTGTTCCCAGGTCAGTGTTTATCCACTCCTGGTACAACTGGGCCCTCTGCTCTAGATCTCAGTGGCTACGTACTAGCCCCGCCGCTAACACAGCAGTAGTATTTTACAGGCTACATGCTAAGTCCAGTCAGTAACCAGTAACTTTACAGAATTTAGTTGGATTAATATCCAACAATTAACCATTATGTGTCAATCATAGAACAGGGCTTGAAATGTGTATTTGGCACCACCTACAGGCCAGGGAAGAACAAACACCACGTGACAGAATAAGTATAGAAAGGCGCAGACGTTACCTTTAAATCAACCTGCAGTTACGTCTCCAGACTCTGATCCAGCAGCTCAGGCTCATCAGGAGACGACGACGAGAGAAGAGACAGTTGAGGCTGGAGCTTTGAGGAAAAGAAAAAAAGTTTAGAACAGAGAACGTTGGAGGATTTTAGAAGCAGCAGCAGCAGTAACAACAGCAGCAGCAGCAGCAGCAGCAGCAGCGACACAAGCAGAAGGCGC